GGGGGGGGGGGGGGTCAAATTGATTCTATCCTCTTATCTGGGCTTAATCTACAATAAAGGTACATCCTCTTATCTGGGCTTAATCTACAATAAAGGTACATTCAAAAAAACGAAACAAACAATCAAACTTCTTTCAGGATATTAGCTCGGATTTTTAGAAAATCTGCGTCTATTCTGCCGTGCTAAGGAAGAACGCCGTATAAGCCTTCAGGCGCTGCAAAATTGCCTTCGATATAATACGAATTTCCAAGGATGCTGTTGATTGTTTTTCCTCCAGTTTTTAGGAGAATTTCACTAGCAATTGATTCGGAGGATTTGAAAAGTTCAAGGGAAAATATTCATGACTTTCCTCAAAAATGTATGTTCTGTAAGGGGACATTTGCCAACTCCTGATGGCTCATACGGCGTTTTTCCTTAGCGCAGCAGTATTCTATTCCCTATCAAGACTCTTTGAAACCGTCTTAGAGAACAGTAAAGACATATCGACGATGAAACTGCCAGACCACGTAACTCGTTAAAAATGTTTAAAAATCTCATCTCATATTACATATTTTTGAAGGAGAACGAATCAATAATATTCATTGAAATTTTCACCGAGTTTTCTACTCACAGAGTAAGAATATAACGGAAGTTGACCACATATCTCCGTTTGCGACGTTCATCGCGTTGCGAAAGCTTCATTTCAATAATTTCGATAACGACTCATTGCCGAAAATTAAAATTTACCTTCAATTATGGACCAAAATTGACTGGTACAACCGCTAAAAATTTTTGACGGTATTTGGGTGAAAAAAATTTACGTAAAAAAAAGGCTAGTTATTGTGATTTTAAAGACTATTTTCCAGGAGTTTTCGCGGTTCACACATCTCACCTAAAGATCACACGATTCAAAGTTGAAACGAGTGAAAAACTATTTAATTACCTTCTTCGAAACCATTCATTATCCCGTGTCCCCAGTTGAAACCAGTTCACTTTTTCGCAAATTATATGTTTTATTTGCAGCGATCGGGCGAAACATTTTGGATTACATTTAAAGGACTTACTTTTTCACGCGCCCATAACTTATTTTGTAAGAAATAAACGTACCTTGGTGGGCTAATTTTAAAAGTCGGCTCGATAAAATAATTAAAATCTCTCTCATTGCTTCGAGCACTCAAGCATTGTCTGCTGGCCCATTCTCATCCATTCTAAAACCGACTGTGGATTGGCCATAAAACGCTCAGTTTATAGATTCCCATCGACCTCTGTTTCACACGGATTTTCACGCATGACGTCTTTTTACGATTGCTTCAATCTCAAATGTCACGCACATCACTCATTTCCCCCGCAAAGTAACCTCATAACACTATTTGGCGCGCTTGTAATATTTGACCACCAGACCATCGATTGATCACTCACTCTCACATTTACACTAGCATTCCCTCTGACGCAATACCTGGCTTCTTCATCGTGTCGTAGAACACGCGATCTGAAGCTTCGTAAATAATGGTGTATTTTTCATTTTGTGTGTTGCAATATGTTCTTATCTGTTGGGGGACATATTCGCAAAATAATCGTGTCTTTGAACCTAGAGTCCCTTCATAGGGAGAGTTAAGACAACGCGGTTCATGGATGTCACAAACGGGAATAAAGATTACACAAATTGGACGTTTTTGTAATCTTTGATCAACCCATTCCCGAATTCCTATCTCCATTTCCTCTCTCATTCCATTTGTTCCTTGCCGAACCCCCAATGTCCTGGTCTATTCCAGTTTATAATCTTTGCAATTGGTGAAACTGTAATCTTTATTCCCGCTTGCGACACTGTGAAGGCCTAAAATATGAGAACCAATCAGAAATGGATTCACATTGTCTTTACTCTCAGTATAAAGGGACTCTAGTTGAACCTTGAATAACATGCTTGTCAGATCTCGCCAAATACAAAGTGATTCGTTACCTCTGATACGAGGAAAACTTATCCCTAACAAATTCATATAGGTGTTCATATATTTATTACAATATAAAAATAAATACATACAAATACCAAATCATGCGATAACTACGATAATTTAGAGAGGAAGCATTTAAAAAACCATGGTGACGTCATCAAAGAGATTTCCCGATGACGTCATCTTCGCTTCTCCAATGACGTTTTCTGATCGGCTGATTCGTTAACCAATCGAAACAAAGATAGCGTCGCTTACACAAAAGGCGGCTTAGCTCTTTTTAATGTAACAAGATAAGATAGAAATAATTAAATAAAAAATATATCTTTTTATGAAAAAACAAATCAGTCAAAATTTCTTCCCTCAAAAGTATAGGGCATAATATAACGCTACAAAAGTAATATCGATGGCTATAAGAAACAGTACCGCCTACCTGCAAACTGACGATTTTCCAAGAACTTCGAAGGAACTTCGCCATTTTTAATGATTTTGAGGTTGGATTTGCAATTATTCTTTTTATTATTTTTTTTATACATTACAGCGTCTTTTTAACACCTCCATGCGGAATTGGGAAAAAATAAAGACATCTTGCGTATTTACTACTGAAGAAGTTGCCAACTCATTTTCGCCAAAATTGGACGTATTTCTGTCAAACGGAACTATGTGCATTCAGGCATGAGACCTGAGACCCATAAGAATATATGCATAACAGGGCTCACGTCATAAAGCATACAGTTCCGTTTGGCGGAAAACCAGCCAGTTAAGCGGCATTGTCCTTAGCCCTCGATTTTCGAATAGGTATCGTTTTGAAACCATGAGCTCCTTAAACAGGGAGGAGCATTCTTAGGTTTGACCCTTGAATTATAAGCAAAAACTATATGTATAGACGTTGCAGTTTTTAGCGAAAGCTCATTAGATCATATTAGCCGCTATGGGTGATGGGAATTCTAAGACGGGCACAATTTTGATATTATACCCTCGCTATGCTCGTTGAGACTCCAAAGTGACCTCTCGGGTGTGAGACGATTCTTTAACATTTTACGCCTCCGCTGTGCTTCTTTCAAGTTTCACCGCGCCGTGGAGAGTAACATAACTGTCATGCAATTTGCCTAGAGCCGAATTGAAGGCGGTTTGAAAATTCCCATTGTCCACAAGGCGGCGCGGCGGCAGTGGCACACGCGAGTAAGCCATTATTTAGAGAGTTGACTGACGGAACTTTAAGACAGCTTTAGATTCATTCTAGTTTCAAGTCATTTACTATCGATAAAGTATCTGGAGTTTTATTAGTTTATATTTCAAGAACGAGCGTGATGGTACATTCAATTCAATTCAAGCAAAGAAAATATGAATTCAAACAGGAAGGTTTTAACACTTTTCAGAATCTTCGAATCACTTCTTAAGTTAAAGGATGTCTTTAAGATTCATAGTTTGATTGTGCAAAACATAAACCCCGAGTCGGTTTCACTCTAAACTGCCAATAATTTTGAGTGCTTAGAACTTAAATTCGACCTCTGCAAGGAGATTTTCTGAATGTACGCTCGTGACTCAATTTTCTTCAATGACAAACGAGGTTCCACCAAATCAGTGGGCTAGATACTCGATAATACATGCTAGGTTTTGAGTGCGGGTAAATGGTTAAAAGCAAAGAGCGACACTAAATCATTCTGTCGGTATAACGGAAAAGGCCGTCAGAGGTTTTGGAAACTGCAGAATTTTCCCCACGTAAAATATTTAAATAGGGCAAATTTATGAATAGTTTTTCTTAAAATTTTGTGGCTCGACTTAATCGTAAAAACTATTCTGGAGAAGTTAAAAACAATTTTTATTTATTTTTCATTTTTTTTAAAAAAAAAGCACACACACATACACACCCTTCTAGTGTGAACCATGAAAAGTGAAGAAACGAATTGAAAATTATTTTAAAAGAGGAATCAAAAGGGTCAATACTTCACGATTATCGATACCACAAAGAGTGGGGCTCTGAGTTTAAATTGTGAATTCTTAACAAAATGTAAAATATCCTTGGTTAATGACTCATCATTGAATAAATGTCACTATTATTGGGCATGGTTCCAAGTACTGCATCGTGTGGTTATGATAATGGATAAGTATAATGTTCTGAGAGAACAGGACCCAATTTGAACAACTACTCAATGTGACTTTCCGAAATCATCGTCACGCAAAAAGGGACGCCCTGAGCAAGTTTTAAATTTTCAAGACTAATTTTTCCCCCTATTCTATTTTGAAAAGATAAGTCAAACATCACAGTAAAATCACCAAGCACTCACTCAGATTCGCGAACAACGGTGAAGTCATGAGAAATTCTTCATGATCAGCAATAGCTGGAAAACTTGTAATTCTAACATTTTTCCTAGTGGCGCGCCCAAAATTTGTATAATGGTGGCGTTCGTAAAACGTTCGAGCTTCATTTTAGATAGAAGGGAACTTAGGAAAACTACTCGAACGGCAGAGACAAGATTGGTTCAACCAGCTCCTGGGCCGCGTAGACTTTTTGGACAGAGAGAGCAAAATGTCCACTGATGGTGCTGGTCAACACTCCAATGTTGCTTGTGGTAGAAATCCTCTCACTCCAAGTTTCATTTTGACAATTGCTGGAATCAGGAACAATGACAGAAATCAAGAATCATTACGTATGGATTTAGAAATATTGCGTCACAGAAAATGATAACGATAAACGATATTTACCGATCTATTCTTATTGGTAGCATTGGAAGAGGTTATGGCATTGTCATTGTTTGGATCCACTTTGATGTAATAGAGAATCCTATGGTGAGTAGTGACGTCTCCACTGCGGGCCGATTATTGAAATTGATCGACAAAGCGATAGACAAAGAAGACATAGGGAGTATAGAGCGATCCTATTGGTTGACATGGTTGGTTCTTATAGACTAAGGAAGAAAATGATGGACTAACTGTCGGGTTTTTGGTGGGTTGCCGTTAGTTAGTCCATTACCTACCTCCTATGTCCATTGCCACCACCTGCTTCCACCAATAGGATCCCTCCAAATCCTTCTTGTCGTCTTTGTCTATAGATTTGTCTATCAGTTTTAATAATCGGCCCGCTGGTGGCATCAATATGAACAAAGTGTATGGACTTAACCGAAATCCAACTGCATGCCTAATGCCCTTTCAGGCTGTCCTACTCGTATTTTTTGAAAAACTATGCAATGGTATGCTTCAAAAATTTTTGTAAAAGTTCCTTGGAATTTCAAAAATACCTTCAAAAATGTTTAAACCTGAATTAAATTGCGTTAAAGAAGAGCTGCTCTGCAGTAAGAGTAATTTCTGCTCCGTGAAAGCCGATTCATAACATGCTTTTAATTTTTTGGGGTGAAGAATTTAATTTTTGTTATGCTTTGACAGTGCGTAATGACTGTAGCGTTAGCGTAATGACTGTAGAAAAACAAAACCTGTTCTTTATGCTCATTTTATGCAAGCACAACAAACCGCAAGAGTTGAAAAGAGAAATTGAAGGCGATGTATACCGAGATCGTCATTTTAGAGTCATTTACAAATAAAATCTTTGGTATGTCGACGCGAATTATTGTAATTGCACGTATTATCATGCAAGCCGCTCACGAATTTGCGACGATTGGCGAATGCCAGTAACAGATACAAATCAAGCCATGTAGAACGGATGCTTTATCAAAGTAGCGTAAGTGCGTATGTACTTACATGTTTGCAGTCATAAAGCATATATGCAGATTATTTGAACTATACAATTGGACGTATTTCTATCAAACGGAACTATGTGCATTGTGACGTGAGCTCTGTAATGCATAAATTCTTATGGGTCTCAGGACTCGTGTCTTTATGCACATAGTTCCGATTGGCAGGAATGCGTCCAATTTCAACACAATAAATTGTGTATTAAAGAAATAATGTTTGCAATGTTCATTGTGATTTTTGTGCGGTTTTATTGTCAGAAACCCTTTCATTCATTTATTTTTATCTGACCAATTGGATTGCATTTTTCAAAAAGGAACCGAGAGCATTCTAGTGTTGCTAGGATGGTGCAGCTTAAACTCTTTGCAATAGAATTCCTGAAATCATGAAAAAATTAAAATGGCATAGGCAATTTTCTTCTTGAATTTATAGTATCTAGGAAGTATGTTGACAGAACCTGTTCAGATTATCAATTTATATTTGCAAGGTAAAAAAAGTTGCATAATCTTAGCGATACTGGAATGCTCTCGGTTTCATTTTACAAAATGTAGTCCAATTGAAAAGAGGTATTGAAACTCACACGGAGATCAATTGTAGATTGCCGTCAGCGGTATAATCGTAGAGCTGGATATTTGACTTGGTGGGCGTGGCCAAGCAGGGCGCCGTGTTGTTCGGGAAGTCGGGGTCCCGCATGATGGTGACGCCGAAGAGCTGGAAGGTGAGCGTGGCGTTTTGCGGGCCCTCGAAAATGAAGGCGCAACTGGTGACGTTGAAGTCCTCCGTGGCCGGCTGCGCGGGGCGGTCAAGCGCGTCCAGCTGGAAGATGGTTGTCGATTGAAAATTGGAAGGCAGTTTGACCACTGAGTTGCATGGGCTCAATTGTTGCACCTCCGTCGGCCCGTATGGAATGATACCCCGCGCCGATAGGACCGAGAGAATAAGGACTAGACATGCGTACCTTCGAATGGAAAAATGAAAGCCCCTCAGTCAAGGAGATATTTGGACCACGTTTAGCGAAAAGAAACCGTGCTACATCGGGTATTGCCAAATTTAATTGGGCAATTTAATTTTTTACAGGAGAGCGTTTGTAGGGATTCCTTTGAAAATGTTTAGGAATTTGCCTTGCACTGTGCAGAAAATTCACTGAAATTTGCACGAAATCCATAAAACCGTTTCCCAATTACATTTAGCAATTGCTGATGTGGCTTGGTTCCTTTCTGCTTAATACGATCCATTCGATTATGATAAGGTGAAAATCGAGTACACTATACAATGAGGGACCACTACTCCTTGCTCATATGGATCACATTTAGCAAAAAGGAACCAGCGTGATTTCAGTGTTTTCAAAATCGTGCAACTTCTTCTTTTCTTTTAAACATACTTAATACATAAGTACATTATTCAAATTTACACAATTATTTCTCTTTGAAGTTGACAAATTTTTAGTGGGAAGAAAAAACTATTTGCTGTTCTGGGAGATTTTTTAGATAATTAAGAAGGAGCAACATTTTTACAACATTGTGATCACGCTGGTTCTTCTTTTCTAAATGCGATCCATTTATGAAGCAACATAATGTGACAGGATCTATGAAAAGGGACCTTGGTGTAACTTTTCCCTCATGATGTTTGAATTTTGCATACTCAGATGAATGCAGGCGTTTTACATTGTTGCGGCCAGAAAGGACTGCAAATCTCTTCAGGATTTCCTGTAGACTGAGGAAAATTATTCTCAAGGGGCGGAGTAGGCAACTATTCATGCATCTTCATTGTAAGTTGCATGCCCTCTTGATTGCAGGCGTTTTATACCGCCATGTAATAAAAAATTCGCCGAGTTATTTCAGAATCAGATGGTCACTTACGTTCAACTCACATTATTTTCAATTTAAAAACTAGTTTACTCAACCACGAACCATCATTCTTGTCTAGCCGAGGTCGTTAGACTTTGAGAAAATACAGGGTGTTTCAGACCACCCGTACCAGGCCTTTTTCTCGGTTGGTTTAGGTCGTACGAAGTCGGAGACCGCGGGGTTGAATAGGGAATTGACCCCAAGAAATCCGAATTTCGTGGTCCCAAAACCCCCCCACCCCCCCTCGGGGGGTAAAGGGGGGGTCACGATGCTAAAAGTCACGGTTCCCGACCGAATTGCGGATAGATCGCATCAAAATTGAAAAGCACGGAAAATTTCACGTGAAATTGACCCCAAAAAATCCAAAATCGGACCATCCAAGGCCCAAAAATGACCCCCTAAAGAGGGGGCCAGTACCCCCCTCCATAATTTCTCTTCGGTCTCAAAATTGACGTAAATTCTCCAGAAAAAGACGGTTTTCCAGGTAATCGACCCCGAGAAATCCAAATTTTATGTTCCCGAAGCTCCTCTAGCCCCCCTTGGGGGGTAAACGGGGGGGCCCAATTTTAAAAATCGGGGCTCCTTTCCGAATCGCAAATTGATTGCATCCAAATTGAGGAGCAGAACACATTTACACCTTAAGTGACTCCTAAGAGTTCTAATAGACCCCCTGAACGGCAGAAAGTAACTCCCTGAGGAGGGGGGCCTCGCCCCCGCCAAAAATTTCTCAGGATTCCTCTTTGGTCGCAAAATTGACGTCGATTCTCCAGAAAAAGACGGTTTCCTATGTAATCGACCCCGGGGACTCTAAATTTCATGTTCCCTCAGCTCCTCGGGGTCGATTACATAGGAAACCGTCTTTTTCTGGAGAATCGACGTCAATTTTGCGACCAAAGAGGAATCCTGAGAAATTTTTGGCGGGGGCGAGGCCCCCCTCCTCAGGGAGTTACTTTCTGCCGTTCAGGGGGTCTATTAGAACTCTTAGGAGTCACTTAAGGTGTAAATGTGTTCTGCTCCTCAATTTGGATGCAATCAATTTGCGATTCGGAAAGGAGCCCCGATTTTTAAAATTGGGCCCCCCCGTTTACCCCCCAAGGGGGGCTAGAGGAGCTTCGGGACCATAAAATTTGGATTTCTCGGGGTCGATTACCTGGGAAACCGTCTTTTTCTGGAGAATTTACGTCAATTTTGAGACCAAAGAGAAATTATGGAGGGGGGTACTGTCCCCCTTTTTAGGGGATCATTTTTGGGCCTTGGGTGGTCCGATTTTGGATTTTTAGGGGTCAATTTCACGTGAAATTTTCCGTGCTTTTCAATTCTGATGCGATCTATCCGCAATTCGGTCGGGAACCGTGACTTTTAGCATCGTGACCCCCCCTTACCCCCCGAGGAGGGGTGGGGGGGTTTCGGGACCACGAAATTCGGATTTCTTGGGGTCAATTCCCTATTCAACCTCGCGGTCTCCGACTTCGTACGACCTAAACCAATCGAGAAAAAGGCCTGGTACGGGTGGTCTGAAACACCCTGTACAAATAACTCAATCGAGCAAAAATAATTATTGAAGAGACAAATTAGTCTATAACTGAATATTTAAAAATATATTTTATGTGGATTTCTTGAAAATGTATTTAATTCAATTTTTACTCATTAATAGGACACGTTAAAATTTTCATTCATTTAAAGTTCGAGAGTTTACGTTCCTCTCAATGTTTAATTATCCCTCGTTCAAAAGTATAAGATAATTATTAATGCTTATATTTTTATTTTTATGATCTATTGATTCTAATTAATTGAAAATTAAATTTTAATTATAAATAAACTAAATGTAAATAGTAAAATTAGATTTTTTAAAAAAAAATCCTGGGACCTTACTTGAACAAAAGAAATTTTTCAAAAAAAAATATGGATTGATGTTTTTCTGTTAAACTTTGTTAATCTTTAAAATGGTTCTATTTCACTGTTTCCAAAGGGCTCAAATTGACTTACCACAAAAGTAATATCATTCTTCACTTATCCCTTTTTTCTTGATCATGGAAGTCAGGCAATCATCTCATTCCTCATTATGAGGACCGGCACAAAATAACTTTAACATTGAAGAGTCTGAAAAGCAGACCAAAAATATTGACCGACACAAGTAGACGAAGTAGTAGACCCGAGTACAGAAAGACTAAGCTAAGCAAGTTACCTAAACGTACTAAAAAACGAGAACTAGGTCTGTTTAACGAACTTCGGTCAGCATTCAATTAAAACATTAACTAATAATCACTTCACCTCTTTGCGTAGAAATCAGGTGCGAAATAACGCATGAGGACCACGTCGATATCAAACAATTTCGATTCATCGATTAGAAAGTGGCGGGTGCTGTGACAGTAGATTTTCCGTAGGTTCAATGGTTTCCGAGTCGATAATTCGATATATTTTAATGCGCGCAAATGGCGAAGAGAAGTTCATTGCCACTCAATGTCTGGCTCATTTGTGACCATTGGAATACTCGATCGCCTCCATCGAGTTGTGACGAGCGATTGGTCAAATTGAGTTTCAAGCGTTCGAGTACACATACCCCCATGGCTTAATCAGACTTTTTGACCGATAAGAAAATTATGGGGGCAGTCGAATAATTTTCCCCAACTGACTCATGTTCAATGTTGTCGTGTCAATGTGAGTGTGTCTTGAGCATACCCTTTGAATTGGCGAGTTAAATGGAAATAATCAAAATTTGACTGCGTTGTATTCGAATGGAGCTGTTTCTCAGTTTCACTCTAGACCTCCCGTTAATTGCCGTCTGATTGCACTTTCTGTCAGTGTGTAAACACTAATCCACATGAAAAATGAGGGGTATCACCGTATGAGAAGTGAGTGATATTTTTAAATTTTGAGAGAAATGCGTTAAAAGTTAGGAATTGACTTTAATCTTATGACGCAAATAAGAATTGAGCTTTGAATTAAGCTGTAACATGTTGTCCTAAAATTAAGCTCACTAAAAAATAGTAACATTTTGATTTTTTAGCAATGCTGCCATGCTAAGGAAAAACGCCCTATATGCCTTCAAACATTGCCATATTTTCTTCGACAAAATATGAATTTTCAGGGAAATTTGTGAATTTTTTTCTTCGAACTTTCGACAGAATTTTATTCGGAATCAGATCTAAATTACCTGAAAATTTCAAGAGAAAATATTTATAACATTTCTCAAGAATACACAGTTTATCAGAGGAAGTTTGGCAACTCTTGAATGTTCAAATGACGTTTTTCTTAAGTAAGGCATAATAATTTCTTAGTGCTTTTCATCCGTAATAAGATCAAAGATCCAATTCAAAATTTTTCAAAAACAATCAAGATCCAATTCAGAAATTTTCTAGGAAATCACGTGTCGCGCATCAAGAGTGAGTTTGTCTTGCATCATTCTTTATATTGCACCTGGCAGCTTTCCCGGCGATCATAAAAAAACTACCACAAGAATCACGCCATTGACTGCGTTTGGCTTTAGTTAAAGGTCACCTTAAGGCAAACCTCCAGGGAAATTTTGAGTTTAAGGCTGAAATTCATGAATTCATTGTTTGAAAAGAGCCTTATGCAAAAACGGCCAAATCCCCCGTAGCTCCGATTGCTTCCATTTTTTAGTATGCTATTTTACCATAACAAAGGGCCCCGTTTCTGATAATTTCAAGTCCAAAAAAAATTTGCCCGCGCTTTGGCGGCGTTGCCAAGTTGCAACCTTAAAAATTCGATAACTTTTGAACCAATTGAGTTATTGATCTGCGGTTTGCGCTAAAATTCTTTAAAAATTATGAACTTTTGTTTCATGTATGGTTTTTGGATAGAACGTAACATTAAACTTATGATTCACCTCTTTTTTTGGATTTTTGATCCGTCGAATTTTACGTGTTCGTAAATTCCCAAAAAAGCCATTTTTTTATTTTAAAAAAAATATGTCCAATCGATTTCTTGTCTAATGCCGCATCTATCGATATGTCATACTTGGCGGAGAAACGATTGGTATAGAAGTTATGAACATTTTTATACGCGGGTTTCGACGCGCCGTACCCATTACGCACCGTTACAGTCGTCCTGGGCTCCTCGCCGCGCGCGTGGCCTATAGCAACTGGTTCATCGACTTTACTCAACTTTTTAGTTTTCACTGACTTACTCAAGAGATAATTTGTAATAATAAAGTTTTTGTGCCCAGTGATTTGTTGTTCTAACCCATAGTTAATAGCCAGTTCTAAGTGTCAGAGACCATCCAGGCAAACGAATAATGTAGAATAAGTAGAAAATGACTGAGATAAGTGACTGTTCGAAGCTGTGACGGAAAGAGAACTGACATTTGGGCTACATTTTGCAATAAGGAACTAGAATTATCGGCTCATTTAAGAAACAACGTATGTGCCATTAGTTTCTTTATGCAAATAAGTGCTTTTACGGATAGGTCAGAAATTATGGTACCTCATGCCAGAATGACGTTTATTTAGCGAGAGATATTAGAAGCACACCTGCGGGGTTATTAGGAAGTATTAATTACCTTTGGATCGATTAGAAATCTGGGATTAGATAGACAAAAGTTAGTTCGCAGTGCAGATAGTGCAAATAATGTCGTCAGGAATAGACCTCTATTTCGAAAAAATGATAATGTAATTACATAAATCTATTCTTGAACGAAACTCATAGTCTCTGTGAAGCTCTTTAAAATGATGGATATCGATGAAGATTATTGTAACTTGAAATGGATATTTATACGTATTAATTGAGAACGACAATATTCAAAAGTAGGGAAAACGTAACATTACAATCTTCCTTTTCATCGCAACGGAATCAGTGGCGTGGCATCAATTGCGATATATCGATTGTTATGGCATTTAAACCTACGTAAAAGGATCGGTAAACAGGGTGTTCGCAGCGAAAACCTTAATAATCGATTATTTACCATAGGTTTAGATGGCATAACAATTGATAAATCGCATTTCACGCCACGCCACTGTGAGGTTCGGTATACTCCGTTTTCCGCGAGAGATGAGGATTTTGTATGATACCACTATTTTAACGCCAGTGCGCGCGGCTGGTATCGCGCTCAAGTTGAAGGCGCACAATCGTGAGAAGAGAACAAAAGTGAGGGCGGATACAGCTTTAAAGTGAAGTATTCAGCTGCCGCTTCTTGTTTTCTGCGTTTAATTGTGTGATTCAAATTTGACCCTTTTGATCAAACAATTACTTGTTTGCGATTGAAGTGCAATCAGTGTTCGAAACTCACTTTTGAGTTTCAGGAGCCATGTCGCGCATCAAGCCCGATTTTTAGGCGCCATTGAAGATTTTTTAGGGGCCAAATTGACTTTTTGCCTATATTTTGCGCATATTTATTTAGTTAGACGCAAGATGTTTTCGTAACAGAACTATATAGTAAGTAGCTGTAACTTGGGTAAGACAAAAGCACTAAGAATGAAATTGTGAAGAATAGAAATAAAGTTTTTTTTTTTTTTTAATTCAAATAGATTTGTTTTCTTTCTTTACGTGACTTCATATGAAAATCAAGATTTTTCGGGAGCAATTTTTAGGGGCCACGTTGGCGCAGTACCTTCATTTTTTAGGTGCCATAGCCGATTTTTAGGCGCATTTGGCGCGTTGGCGCCTGTGAGTTTCGAACACTGAGTGCAATATTAGTATTTAAAAAAAAAAACGAATGAAAGAAGATGTGGTAATATTTTTAATTGCAATACATAAGATCTAAATAACGATTTTGTCTCTCAAGTCACCGATTCTTCTCCCCTGAGATAACAACCGAAATTTTCGAGTTCAGGTAAAGTGATCGATAATTAAAGTGACAGTATGGGAACACACTCTCAAAGGCGCAAGTGAAACATTTATAAAAGTCCCGAGGGGTTTTCTTCATAGGGAAGAATGCCTCTGCAAGTTATAAGTATATCGGATTATAGCGGATGTCTCATATTATCCAATCATCACTTTTGCACTTAAAGACTAATGGAAGCCTTTCATTTACCCATCATTCAGAACTACTCAATACTCTTGATTAGGTTGATTGGGAAAATTTTGGTCTGTCGCAAAATTTTGCCAGAGCAATGGAGATGTTGCATGCATGTGTGAGGAATTTGCGATTTGACTGTTGATTCTTATGTAAAAGTTCGCGTGAAGAGTCCCTTTATACCCAGAGTTACGACAACTCACTTTTGGTTAGGCTGAAAGTGGCCTAAAAAAATCCAATTCCGATTGGTTCTCGCTCATGCGGAGTCACAAACGAGTGCACCAAGATAGCGGTACCTCGAATGTGAACAAAAGTAATAAAAATATAACTAAGCTGTGGTTTATCAAGAGTGAATTGTTATTTTCATAGCACCAAAATGAAAATAGATTATGAAATTATCCACTTATCAATCTAATTTTATTTTATTGAAATTTCTTTGGTTAGGTTATGATCACTTTCGTTGACGTCGTTGTTTTTAGATGACAGACATCACAGGATTCCTTATCCTTAACCCTCAATATCGTTCGTTTGAGTGTACTCTTTGGACAGCCCAGGCCGGCTGCTAGTCAGCTGATAATCGAGTTGTCTTAACTCTGGGTATAAAGGGACTCTAGAAACACGATGGAGCTACTGGTTTTCTCTGAAATTAACTCCCAAGCTCAGAAAAAGCTCTCAAGTTGAGGCCAAAATGGAGGAGATATCCCACGCTATTCTGAGAGTCCATCTCTACATCAAAACAAACTCTCCATGCAAAGATAGGGAGGAAATACATTGACAGGGCTGCCACTTTATTTGGGGACTCTAAAACTGAAAACACGGCATCACTGCTAATGTGAGGTGGACTCTCAGAATAGCGTGGGATATCCCCTCCATTTTGGCCTCAACTTGAGCGCTTTTATTGAGCTTGAGAAAGGGCACTATATTAGACAAATCTAATAAAATAACAAAATTGTGACTTCGAATTTCTTTTATGTAGTAGAGACCTTTTTTTCCCCATTAATTTTTTGAATTTCTGTTTTCACAATTCTATCAATCACTAACAAGCACTTTTACATACTTACAATAGAATCAGTGAGTTCGAAAACACACAAACTCGGGAAAAAAAGTTGTTCAGGAAACACCTAAAACTTCTTTTTTTTCGAAAAAAAACACAATTTTATTCAAATAGAAAGCAATATAAAGTTGCTAACAGTGTTTCATATCTTTCTACATGCATTACAAGGTATTAAGCTTAGAGTCGAAGCCTTAAAATTAAA